CCCCTGCACCTATCTCCTTGACAGCTGGCAGGCTTCGTGGCCGCAGCAGGGGATAGCAGGCCTGCAGCTTTTACCCTGCTGAGCCTTAACACACGCAGTGTCACCCATGTCACGAGTTTTGCTTGTCTGCAACTTGAGGTACAGTTTCCCTTAAATCTCTACACCTATCTCCTTGAAACTTGACAGGCTTTGTGGCCTCAGCAGGGGCTAGCATGCCTGCAGTTTTGACCCTGCTGTGGCTTAAGACATACACATGACATGAGTTTTGCTTTCAAGACTTTGGGGTGCAGTTTCCCCAAACCCCCTGCACCTATCTCCTTGAAACTTGGTGGGCTTCACGCCCTCAGAAGAAGCTAGCAAGTTTCATCCAAATCAGGCAAGAAATGACAAAGTTATAGGCTGTTTCAAACTTCCCCATTATATCATATAGTCGAAATGTTGAAACAGGGTTGAAATGGCAAAACTCTTTCAACAGAATGGAATGGACCAGCTGTTTAGACTCGAAACAAAATCTGAAACGGAAAGCTGTTCCATCGAAACATCAAAACGCTGATCGAAATGGAATGCTGCTATTTTGCACAGCCCTATTGTTTGGTGTAACAGAGGATTATCATCAGCTATAACATGTTAACTCAGTTGGGAGCCAGAGCAAATACTGACTAACATTTAAAAAAATGTTATACTACTATAGATATACATACAGTAGACACTGAAATAAGCCCATAAACATGCTTGTTGACGTTCATTGAAAAGCCCACAAAATTAAACCATATCAACATTTTAAGAAATGCCCATAATAAAAGGTTGAACCATTTAGAGATTAAATGTCTCCTCCCTTCCCTCATCTATTTCTTATGTATTTTCCTATGTCAAATTTTTCCTATGTCACTGCTTTTTGGGGCAGCTACCACCTTTGCATTTTATATCTGGATGGCATCTTAGTGGCATCTCTATATTCTAGTGCAAATCACATAAATAATATTAATAAAATAAGAGATGCAGGCTGAATATTCTACAGGCATATTTCTATTGTTAAAATTTTAAACAACAGCTAAAATTTCAAAATCAACTCAAGTGGAAGATTACTGAGACAGCTCTATAAATAGTCCTATATTCCTAAAGCATAAATTTAAACTCATGCCACAGGCATGCTATTCCCAACCTATCTCATGTCACTACTGACCTACAGGCATCTTCCCTGCATCTGAACTGTGACCCACTTCTTCCTTCACAGCATGCACTTTCTTTGAGTATTTCACAATACAAACATACACATATATACGGAGTGGGTTTTTTTATACTGTTGATATACCGTGTATTTCTAAACATTAAACCTTATTAACAAAAGGAATGTGTTTACCTCTCTGCGTTTATAAATCACCAACTAAGTAAGTATACAAAACGATGTAAGACTGTAATATTAACAATGCCATAAAGACGTAAATAGGAGTAAATGTTCATTTCTTTTTAAGATCTCAAAATTAGTACCTGCTAAGTAGTGCACAGTGCATTTGCTTCCTGAAATAATGTAATTAAGAAATAAAATCAAATACAGGCAAAGCCTATTGTTGGTATCAAACTCAGGAGAGCTGAGGAAGGTGGATTATAGGGCACATTCAACTTTTGATATGAACACAAGTTACATGTGTGCAGATCTATAAAGTTAAATTACACGATTCCAGTGCAAAGTGTTCTAGATTTATCTTCACAAAAATAAAACTGCGCTTCTCAGTTGCCATAACAATACATATTTAACTGAGTCTTGACTGTATCTTTTAAAAATAAATTTATAGTTACCAGGTCAGCAGCATTTTTTTCTACACAACACTGCTTAAATATAGCTGCATACAACAGAGTACCATACTGACCCAAATATAAGATGACCCCCCAACCATATTAGATTCTATTCATGAAGCAGTAAGAGGACAGGTGGTGGGGGAGGCATGCAGTTTGATCCCTGCTGTCTGTGCTCTCCCATTTACTTCCCTTGTGCCTGTCCCCCGCAGCCTCAGACACCCATGCCCCTTTCCCCCCATCTACCCTCTTTCTCCTTCTGTGCCACTTCTACCCACCACAGCCTCAAGACCCTGCCCACCTTGCCCTGCCCATCTTGTCACTCTGCACTGCTTCTGCTCCCACAGCCTTGGGTCCCCTCGTCCTTCCTCCTCTGTTCCTGCCACTCCACCACCCCCTTAGCTTTTCTTCGGCACTGGCAGGCTCCTGATGCAGCCTAGGACATGAAGCACAGCTCCATCCTGGCCCCATAGCAGTGATATAGAGCTGGCACTAGTGGCTGCTATAGGGCCAGGACATGCTCTGTACTCCAGGCTGCAGTGGAGCCTGGAGTACTCCAGTGGAGCCTGGAGTACTCCAGGCTGCTTTTGTTGTTTGCCAGCACCACAACAAAAGTAGTGGGGTGTAATGGGAAGTGGGGGAAGAAGTGGTGTGGGGGGGAGACAGGAAGCAGCAAATGTCTGAGGCTTCAGGAGAGGATGGGGCATACTCGATTGTAAGACAAAGGGCTTTTTCCCCCCACATTAAATGGGGGAAAAAGCATGGCCTTTTAATCAAATATGATAAAAATAATTTTCCTTTTGTTTTCCAAAGCTCTGTTCTTACAATTATATAATTTTTTCCTGCCTAAAAAACCTCAGCAGCAAAATGTCAGCTCCTAAGAAGGTATTGCATATAACTGTTTTATAACGGAAGGCAATTAAAAATAATTCTGGCAGATGACACTTGTAAACCTGCTTAATTTTAATCAGTTGCTTAAAATCTGCTCATCACAATGCACATATAATACTGTATGATTTCACGAGGAAACAGGAAGTAGCTTTACACACCAGGGCAGAATAATTCCTTTGCAAGTAGAAATAAAACAATGGCAAAGAAAACAGGTATAGTATAGAACGACTAGCAGAGAGCAAATCTGAAAAAGAGTGGACTTACGGTGGGGTCATTAGTTTTCCGAAGCTTGTGTGTTAATGATAACAACTGTTCTACTGCAACTTTGGGCACATTTGGAATCTGTTTGAAAGACAAAAAAAATGTATGCATGAGTGTGCATAAGTTATGTATATGCACAGTGTATATGTATTTGCTTTAAATCACCCAAAAGGAATATATTTCAACAAAAAACATTAGTTTATGTAGAAAACTATCATGATTAGAAGATTAATTTATATCTATTACATTAGAGGGTACTCAGATTCAAGTATAACGAGTCATTTTTGCTATGCAAAAGAATTCTACATCATAAAAGAAATTAAGCATTCATCATATATTACAATATTTTCATTCATACTCATATCCAATAAGATACAGAAACCAATAATTAAAACTGGGAAAAGCATTGCAAGTACTTGCCATTTCTTTAATAACTTGAAATTCTTCATTCTTGGTTAAGGATTTCACATTATGAAAGAGAAACAGAGTTAAAAGCTCTGGGCCCAGCCATTGTTGTGTGCTACTTCCAAGGACAGGTGGCTCCGCCAAGGCAATTATTCTGAATGAGGAGTGGATCGGAAAGATAGACCTACAAGAGAATGTATTTCAAATTGCATTACCTGGCCTACATAACAGGTAACAAATCTGAGCTTGCAACTTCCATATGAAGCATGATCAATCTGCAAGTCAGTTACTGAATTTAGAAATCACAGACAATTGAGGTTGGAAGGGACCTCAGGAGGTCATGTAGTCCAACCCCCTGCTCAAAGCAGCACCAACCTCAACTAGATCATCTCAGCCGAGGCTTTGTCTAGCCGAATCTTAAAAACCTCCTTGGAGCTTTTTAGCTCCAGTATATTTTCTATTGAGGACATTTGCAATGCAACAGAATAAAAAATCAAAACCAACATGAATAGTATAATGTAACAAGCAATTTAAAAGCAACCCCTCATCCTCCCCGCACAAATACCCTGCTTTCATAACTTGTCACATATACATGGTTACTCAAATCTTGTCTTCACCTGGAGTGTGACCCATGCACCTCAAGCTGTGTAAGTACTTATGCTACTGTTTACTTTTACGTATGCCTGAAAGAGACATGATTTATTACTGTATTTGCCCAAATTCAAGACAACTTTGAATTTAAGATGACCCCCCCAATAATTAGAAAACACAGAAATGTTAACATAGAAAAATTGTAAACGTGTATAATTTTCCATGTACAGAATTTAATTGTCAGATGGTCATCTAAAATGCACCCCCCACTGCTACAACAGGGAAAGTCAGGGGGGCAGGAGGTAGCAAAGTCAAGTGTCTCAGCCCCTTTTCCCTTGACCACCCCAGTGCCTGCCACACCCCCACACTGCCTGCCCACTTTTCCTGCCCCCTCCCACAGTGCTTGTGCAAACTGCACCTTCCCCACTGCCACTTGCCTTCTGCTTCCTGCCCCTCCCCCTGCTTCTGCTTCCCCTCAGTTGTGACTCCAGCTCTAGCACACTTCCTCTGTTCCAGCCAAGTGACTGCAGTTGTGGCAATGGCACCTCCAGCCCCCGACCCCTAGCTGTTGCTACCACTGCCTGGCTGGGCAGGGGATGGAGTGGGGCTGGAGTCTGCAACTGAGGGTAAGCAATGGTGCAGGGGGAGGAGCAGAGGCAGCAGCTCCAACTCCAACCCTGAGCCTAGGTAGGGGCCACAGCTGCAGCAGTTGCCTTCCCCCCCACCTTGTACCCAACCCCAAGATGAAGGCTTTCCCCCCACTTTATGCCCCACCATGTTGAAGGGATGCGGGGAGGGAAACCTTTTCTAGGATTTGAGTAAATCCAGTAATTTGATGGATTACTACAAGGTTATCACCTGAAACAGCATGACCAAGAAGCAATTGAGAAAGACAATTGAATCTACTGGAGCTACAATAACAACTTCTTTTACTCCACTAAACTACCAGGAAGTATGATTTTGTGGTGAAGGCAACCATGAGAATGTGGCTCTGTTATGGATTTTCTGTGTGACTCTGTGACAATCAATTAGATTCTCTTGACCTGTATACATTTGTGGTGCTGATGGTATCCCAGCTGGAATGGATTTGCTTCAAAACCAGAAATGCACTAATGAAAATGTTCCAGGGTGGCCTTCAAGACATTGGTCCCTTGCATACTTAAGAGTAATTGTTGGCGACAGCCCTGGGATGTCTCCACCAGTGCAGCTCTGGGTCTGGACATGTTTGTGGAACCAAGGGAGTGAGGAATGCTTAGAGCCATCACTACAGGCTGTAGCATGGACAAGGCCAGAGTCGAACTGATTTACACAATGCCACTCAAAGTCAGTCAGTAACAGAACTGGGAATTAAATCAGATTCCCCTAACTGCCCATTCAGGCCGCATCCAGACAAGCATGGATGTGCAGTCTGTGGCACCACACACAGCACACGCAGGTATTCCCTGCACTGCCAGCTTGCAGTGTGGGGAGAGGGGTTTTGACACCAGGAGATCCTGGGGTCAAAAAAACCCACACCAAAAAAAGCAGAGCAGTGTGCATGGTGGCAGCATGTGCAGCCAAAAACTGGAGCCTGGCTAGCCAGAGCCACACTTCAGCTGCTGACCAGGCTTCTTGCCACAGCTACAGCCCCAGGAACCCAGGGCCCCAGGTAAGGCTGCTGTGGCCAGCACAGTTGCTGGCCCCAGCCTTCCCGACCACCCAGGTAACCTGCTGTGTGCCAGAGCACGCGTAGTACAGGTGTTCCCCAAGGACATGCAGCAGCGACACAACGTCTGCGCTAGTTTGGACGTGCCCTCAGTGTCTTCACCATTAGATCAGCCTTTGTGTCAGTTGCCTCTATCTCAATTTCACATTGCATAGATGGGGATAATACTGTTTTCCCATCCTTAGTTTGTTTTGTGAAGATTATAACTTCTTTAGGTCAGCAAGTGTTGTTTAATCTGTTTTTATTCAGTGGCTGGAACAATGAGACTCCTGATTTTAGTTCTAGATAATAACCCAGATATAAGTCAACGTTGCAGAGGAATATGCAGTGGACAAATAATTTCTAAATAACTTGACTGATATACTCTCCCCGTGTCATTTAGTAGCAAAAACAAGTTGTAATTATGGTAATTTAAATTAACTAATTACATTTTTATTACATGTATTCTGGGAAGTAAATATCATGTTTGAAATTTATCATGTCTGCCTATCTTGGGGCAAATTCTCGCTCTGATTATTTTCTGAAAAAATGAAGGGTACATATAGTGAACATTGAGGCAAAATTCAAACCTTAAAATTTAGGCTACACGATGTACTGATTAGTTGGTAGCAACAGCAAGGATTCTGATACAACACAGCATATCCACTGAACCCCCTGGAAAGTTGCCCTCTCAGATCAAAGCAACCACAGCGGGTGGCATCAGTCATTCTCAGCTGACAGTCATAAGCCTAGAAGCTACTCCCTGATTGATAAAAATAGATGTTTGAAAACAACATATGAAATATGAACCAGTAGGTATGTCTTTTTGTCATTAAACTGAGAAAAGGTCAGCAGTGCCCAATCCTGTTACAGAATAAACTATTTCCTAGATAGGAGAACCAATGTATTGTTGCAGATTCACTTAAAAAAAAATAAATAAATAAAAAGTTGGCATATATTGAACTAAATCTTAAGCCCCAGTCTGGTTCTTTTCCTCTTCTGTCATAAAGTGCCAGAAAGTATTCAGCTCTCTTCAACACAGGGTGCATTAGGCACCTATAACATCTCCCTGTCGCAGCTTTAAACAGAAAGGTCCTGCTGGAGGCACTCTGGGTGACGGGGACAGTGATGTATGAGAAGGGAAATATGCCTGGAAGGGCATGAGCAACGCTCCGGTTTTGAGCAGCCCTGAGGATCCAGGCCACAGAAGGGCCCCGGCTCAAGAGCAGGGAGCCATAGACAGTGTTTCTGTCCCTCCACCTCTCCTTCCCAACAGCTCTTTCAAAGTGGGTGGTGGGAATACCTGAGGACTGAACCCTTTATTTTGAATTGATTATCTGCAACAGTATTCCAAAAATCCTTTCAAACTGAATATTTTAATAATGTAAAAGCTAAAAACTGCCCCAAGGAAAAGATTTTTAATTAGCAAGCTATTTGTCTAAGAAAAGCTCTGACACTGGGATCTGCTGCACTTTGGAAAGCCTTTTACAAATGCATATATCTTTCCACTCTCATTCAATCATCTAGTGAAAGCTTTATTTGTATATTCTCTTCACCAAGTGAAGTAACTGCCTTGCTCTGTGACACTGAATAAGTCATATCTCCATTTCAGTTTTTCAGTCTGTAAAAGGATATAAAACATTTATCTACATCAAATGGGTGATGCTTGGATTAGTGCTACCAAAGCTGGAAATGAGAAAATAAGCACTACCATTGATTATTCAAATAAAATTCACAAATGAGTTAAATCCTGACAAGCCCTGCAAAATCAGGACCAAAATAATTATATCCTTGTTTCTTTGTGAAGTTGTAGTTATTAACCACAAACCCCCATAATCCTTGTTTTCTCTGCAGAAGGAGATCCTGTAAGTAACTCCAAAACCTCACACATTAAGTTCCAGGTCCCTTTCTATATTTGCTATGATCAAATTTGCTGGTAGGATTGGCAATCATTTATAAATACAGAGTACCAAAGGGATTGATCTTTTTTCCCCCCCTGTTCAATGTGTGTTAGCCAATTAAGGGGCATCATAAGACCCTATCAGCTATCAATATTCCAGACCCGAATTCTTCTCTCTCCACCAAAGATTATTAATATTCAAAGAACAAAATGTCACTGAAGAAGGGGAAGCAAAGAATAAAATCCTACCAAGAGGACTGTAGAAACTGATCTCTTGTATACCATCTGAAAAAAAAACGGAGCTAGTGCTATTTAGATCAGTGGTTCTCAATAAGAAAATGCTAGTTCTTAGTTTTCACTCATTTTTTGACTAAAGAAAAATAATACAGCAATTATTCTATAGCAAAGAACTCAGAAAGACTGCAACAGGGAAGAATATTTTTAACACTATGGATTTCCCTGGAATTTCTGGGTTTATCTGGGGAATTATGTTTGCACACCTATCAGTACTAACATTGTCTGGCATTCTGTGGCACCCTTGAAAAAACCTCAATGCATACAGTAGTACCAAAGCACCCTAGTTGAGAATCACTGACCTAGACACAAAGATGAAAAACTGCATTCCTATGCTACCACATGCTAGTTCCTCTTTTGTTATTTTCCCCTGTCCCACAAATGTCATTATTCCCCATTTCCTACTGCAAATAAAATAAAAACTTGAAATAAAATAAAATAAAATAAAATAAAATACAATAAAATAAAAACTTGCAATAATATCACCACAAACAACTGTTCAATTGTGCATTAGCAAGTTAGGTATTCACATTTGAAATAATTCCACTTATGTATGGACAACTTGAACTCAATTAATATCATTTAAGAGGGTCAAATTTAAAATAAATATATTTAAGGAGAAAAAAAACTATGCTGTGTCTACTGAAGTATATTATTTGTTGTCCTTGCAAGTATGAAAATTACCATGTAATTGTTTCCTTTTTACTCTTCTACAATTTACAATGAGCTGAGCTGAATTTCTTGTTTTTTAATTAAAAGATTAGTTTATTAAATTTTCAAACACCCTACACTGAGCAACCGGAAAACAAAAAGTTTGTACAACAAACAAAACAAATGTACAACTAAGTTAAATTAGGCAGCTACAACTTAGCTATATTAGAGTTAGGAATTTTCTATGAAGACATGCTGGATATACATTGTGGGTCATCTTTAAGTGATGAAAGTACCTCTTCTTCAACAATGGAACTAGTTCAAAGCAAGTCATATCGTTCTGTAAGTAAGTAGGTGTCTAAGGCTTCAATTACCCTATACAGAAAAGTGTCCCTTCCAAAATTCTGCAGTAGTAGTAGTAAGTAGTAGTAGTTTGCCTTTTGGATGAATACCATCTTACCTTGGCTGCTTGCTAACTGCACTGCCCAAATGGTCAAATAGAATGCTTACAACTGATCAAGGAACATCCTTCATGCCCACAAACGTAAAACATCTGCTTGAGCTCATCATTTCTGGCACAACCTTCACACCAACCATCACACCTGTATGGCTTTTCAACCTCATTAATTATGTATCATAATTAATGAAGAAACAGAGTAGAATATACAGTAAAGATGTAACTGATAGCACGTGCATTTGCTTCAGAAAGATTCTTTGGGATTTTGCCAATTTTTACATAGATCCTCCAAAAATTAATTAAAGAAAAAAATTGCTTGAAATTTGCAAAACTGGAATTCATTTTAAAATTATTCGATTGTATTTTGTAACTTGAACAGATAATGGCCTTAACATCCTTCAATGTTGCCAGTTTGCATTAGTTCCTTTTCAAGAGGTGCAACAATACTCATATAATGCTCCTATTTTTTTTTATCCCCCCCCCCAAAAAAAACCCAACCTCATCAGTTTTTGATAGTTTTATTAAGTGATGAGGTAATCAGTATTCTGTTTTAAAACAATACTGATTTACTAGGAATGAACACCAGCGCTTATTCCTGAGACAGTGCCTACATTTGTAATAAAAAAGAAAGATAATGGTTAAAGGAACTAAAAACAGGTATAACCTTTACCATTAATCTATTTTCAAACGAAATTTACCATTTGATAATTGGTTAAATTTTTTCTCTAGAAAATGAGCCCCTTCTAGAATTCCTCTAATAATACCAATTGTCCTCAGAATTAAAATGTGGAAAACCTAAGAAATATGACACATTTAATTTTTTTAAAAATCCTTGAAAAAGTTTTGGCTCACTGGTTGTAATATGCTCTCCTATGTCTTATATCAGTCAAATATTATTTATGATTGAAATATTAAAACTGAATTCCTATTTTAAAGTAATCAGGCCCACTGAATCCCCAAAAAGTAATCTCAAATCCTCAATGCAGAAGAATTGCACTAAAATAAAGTGACTATTAAGAAAACAATATTATTTTCTAAATAGTCACTTTATTTTTGAGGTTTAAGTTATTACGAAAATATAGTAGAACATTGAATTTTCTCTTTTTTCACTACAGAATCTAAATATTATAAAAAAGGTAAACAGCAATCATATCCGTTATATAGCTGAGATAGAATGCCTATGTATGCTCCTGCTACACTGTTTCTTGTTACAGATAACACATAATACCCTGACCATAATGCAAATTGGCTACAATTTTTTATTACTGTAAAATGAATAAGTAGCTGAATGCCCTCACAGTTCATTCAAAGTTTAGTGTCCTCTAAGAATTTCGATAGTTTTACCACTTCATAAATAATTCATGAGAAACATTTTTACATATTGGATTACTCTTGTTTTCAATTACATAAAGCAGAATCTAAATGAAATCAGTCACTACTGGATAGCTTTGTATCATATGACAATCAAAGGACTATAAATATTTTTCCCCCAAATTTTTTATGGCAAGCAAGTGGTGATTGACTAACAAGAATAATAAGAGTGATGTGTCCCAACCCATTCTTCAGATTTCCTGCTCCATATTAGTTGTGAATTACATGCTTCCTTTCTAGGTAATCTGCTAGAAGACAGTAACAATTTACAATATTTAGCTTTCTTGGTTCACCTCATAATGCTTCTAAACAACCTATTGTACTTATACATATATAAAAGTTTAGACATATATTTTTTCTCTCATTCTTGACTCTTTTTATGATGGGATAGTTTATTGCTTCTGCTTTTAACTGACAAGCTAACAGGATATAATCATTACCTAATGTAGGGGCGGTCAAAATATGGGCCACAGGCCGCACCTAACCCACCAAGTACTTTCATCTGGCCTGCAGTGCCCGCCAACAAATTGTGCCCCGCCCAGCCCTTCCACCCACAAGAGTGGAAGCGAGGTGCCCATGAGTGGAAGTGAGGTACACAAACCCCCAAACATACCCTACTGCATCTCACTCCCACCCTCGTGGGCAGAAGCTGCCAGCAGACAGCTTCCAGGCAGGGCTGCTACAGCCCCTGGGGACCTGTTCCACTTCCCCAGTCTCCTGCTGGCTCCAGGCAGCAGGTAGGGAAGCAGCAGGGGAAGGGCTACAGATGGGCAGGTGCGTGGTGCTGGGGCTGGCAGCAGCACGAAGCCCACACCCAGGCGGGCAGTGGAAGCATGGAGCTCGGATGGGTAGCATGTGGGTGTAAGGAAGGGTGCGGGGTGTGGGGACCACTCCACACACACTCTCCCCATGGTGTGCAGCCCTGGCACACAGTGGCAGCAGCAGCAGGCAGGGCATGGCTCTGGCCAGCATGGCACATCATGGTGAGGTGTACAGCCTCCCCTGGGCTGTCTGTATCACCAGCACTCCCCTCACTCGCCGGGCATGGGAAGGAAGTCTCAGGCACTGGAGCCGGCTGCCTTCCCCACCAGGACTGCACAGCAGGGGAGGGAAGCCCTAGGCACCTTTCCCTGGGAAGCAGGGAAGGCAGCCAGCTCCAGCACCTGTGGCTTCCCTCCTGTGCCTGGCGAGTGCGGGGAGAACTGGTGATACAGATGGCCCAGCAGAGGCTGCACCCCTTACCATAATGTGTGGTGCTGACCAGAGCCATGCCCTGCTGGGCACCAGTGCCCCGAGTGCCCCGCCTGCTGCTGCTGCACCATGGGGGGAGGGGAGGGTCCTCACATCTTCCCACCCTCCCTCACACCCCACAACCCCCACATACCCTACACCCAAAACCCCCCACATATACACACTCCCCACTGTACCCAATGCTCCCCACACACACAGCTACACCCCCTCATAATCCCTCACACCATACCATACACACACACCCACACACACACCCACACCCTACCATATACACACACACTAAGATGGCAACTCCCCACCACAAAGGAGTATTTCCAGGAGGCAAGGAGAGGGACTTCCAGCGGCAAAGGTCAGGGGTTAGGGGTGGAACTTTTGGTCCCAAGATGGGGACAAGGGGGTGGGGCAACCGTCAAGGGGCGGGGCTACCCATGTGGCCCTCAACCGCTCACCAAAATTAGTTAAGTGGCCCTCCACCCAAAATAATTGCCCACCCTGGTCTAATGCTACAAAATACTTCATGAGGACACTGGAATGTAAAACATATTCTATTATGAATTACATGGCATTATTCTGTAATTTTAAATGTACATATTTAAAAACGTAGAACATTGGAAAAAATCAGACATTAAAAAAGAATTCTGAACTCTTCCCAGACTGAAAAATGCACGGAGTTCATGGAATATTATGTTTGGTGTCTGACAAATTACCTTTCCTGAAGTTTCTCATCTGAGAGGTGCAAATCTTCTTTTAACTGTTGATACCTGTCTTCACGTAGTAACCTGGTGCCATCATACAGAGTTAGTTCTCTGTCATGGATTAGCCTGTTTGGGAACAGAAAATAAAACAAGTCTAGCATTTAATTGCCTTTTTCTAAGTTTTCTCAATGCATGTTATTTTAAAAAGGTGCTTCAGCCAAGATGTCTTAACTGTACTGCCCAAGTTATTAACAAAAATAAAGATTAATAAGTTTCAGCAAATGACCTTGTAATAACAAGGAAGGCCAGTCAAACTGTCTGCCTAAGAAAAGAGTTTAAAATATGGTTCAGTAACTACAGTACATAATACCATGTTGACAGAATAACTATTTTCACAGATGGACAAACCTTACTAGAGACCATACATGAAAAAACTTTCCCTATCACTATTATAACTACATAAATGGCATGAAATTAGAAATATTCTTCCTATTAACAGCACCATAGTATTGTTTTGTTACTAGAAACCAGACACTTTATAGCTGCTTTCATAGAATGTAAATTCTATAAAGCAGAAGAAAAAAACAGATGTGAAGAACTTAAAAGGCATGAAAAATGGGCTTGTGCTATTCTCCTGCCTTTTTTCCAGTTTATGAAGGTGGCATGAAAGGCTACTGCAGCTTTAAAGGTGGGATTCTACTTAAGTTTATAAAAGGGACTGTACATGGGTAGCCAGTCCATGGCTGCATACCACAAATGACACGGGTTGCCTCTGTGTGGCACATGGCAGATCAGGGCAGAAGCAGGGAACACAACAGCAGGTAGAACAGGGAGCAGAAAAAGAGCAACAGATTGGACAGCGGAAGAGGATTGGAGTGGCACTCAAGCAAAGTGAGGGGCTTTTCCTGTGGCAAGCCTGCCAAAAATGTTGGCCCCCACTGAATTATATGACATAGTTGCCTACAATAGCAATGGACCACACCTGATACCCCACAGAAGATCCTACCCAATCCCGTTTTGCTAAGGTTTCATATGAGAATCTGAGATCTTGTCTACCTCGATGATTCTATGGATAAAAAGAAAACTAGTATGACAATACAAGTAACAAGGAAGTGAAAGCTAGTAGAGAGAGAGGAAATTATATTTTATTTAGACGATTGTTTTTATTAGCACCCATTTAACTAAGTAACCTGAAAAAAGAGCTCTTTTTGTTAAGGATCCAACACCACTTTGCCTTCATCTGAAGCCTGAGAAAACTTGCTATACCCTTCTGAGTCATCCAATAAAAAATGGCAACACAAGATTTGACATTCCTGGTTTTTTTCCAAAAAAGAACAAAGCAATCCGAATACAATCTACAAATTTAAAAAAAAGAATGAAAAGAAAAAATACATTCAGATTTTCATACTACAAGTCATAAAGAAGCTAAAAGAAGACAAGCCGATTGCTTTGTTAAGCAGGTTACTTCGATAAAGCTTTAAAAAAAAAGTTAAAAGAAATTCAGGGAACATTTTTTATTTTCAACCAAATTACTGTAAAACTGGACAGAAGTTATTCTGAACTATTATCTACATAATTACATATTATTGTAAAAATCCAGTTTGAAAATAAGGCGACCTAGCTACACATAATGCACAGAACAGACCAGAAGAGAAAATTAGGGTCTCAGAAAGCTCTGAAGCTAACTGAACTCTGTCTTGGGCATAAAATACATAAGCATAACAATGAAGGTCTTTAAAGAACTTAGGAAATGTACATTCAAAGTGATATTTTTACTTATTCAACATAAGAACTGTTATTCCTAAAATAGCTACTAGCAACACTATATTATGGGCTAGATTCTGATACCTTCATTTATCCTGAGTAGCTACTTACCACAAGTACTTCTAAGATAAAGGTACTATTCAATATAAGCATAAATTTCAGAATCTGGCCCTGTATTCTTTTATTTATTTACTAAAAGCACAGTTGACATTATTATACAAGATTTTTAGGCATTTTTAGTAAAATGATTAAAGGAATTTTAAGTAATGTCTAGAAAGCATTCTGTAGAGTGAGTATAATTTTCTTTTTAACAAGATGCACACAACAAAGATAATTAACATAATAAATGTCACATCTGTCATTTAGGAGCTACATGCAGTTTTTAGGACTTCTGTACTAATTTCCATTTTCAAAGCACAGTACAAACACTGACTCATTAATTTTTAGGCTACATTAACTTTCACTAGGTTAAAACCTAGCACATTTTTCAAATCACATAGAAAAGCTGCATGAACTAAGAGTTGATTTACACAACAAACTCCTGGCTTCCTTCTACTCTCAAATACATAAGGACCTAACACTGCATCTTCCGTAAACACACAATACAATATTTGCAACACTATTCTTTAATTTGCACAGTTGTGCATCTAGTAGCAGGACACAAGTTTCTCAGGCTATGCATTTAAGTGCACGGCCTCAGGGATGAAAAAGGCAGCGTGCATAATGGGGGTACATGCTTATGCAAACTTAATGTATAATCAACACTTGTTAAGCATTGCTGTAATCTTAGATGCCCTGAAATGACTAGCTCCCAACATCTTCAAAGCTTCTACTAATCAGCTCTTTACCAGCTGCTTCCTCTTTACCATTCTGGCATGGTTAAAGGGAATACAATTAGTTACAAATACTTTAGCTAGCAGTTAACTGGAATACTATTAACTTATAAACCAGAAAGTGGGACAGAAAAATGCTATGTTCTTAAGCAGCTTATGTGTTCAATGAATATGAAGATAACAGGAGTTTGTTACATTTGAAGCAATAGGCAATAAATTGGGACTGGCAATACATTATGATCTTATGCAAATTAGGCACTTACTAGAATTCATATATGTGCAGTACACAGTATGTACTCAGTAAACAAATCCCAAACACCCATCTTACTAGCACTTTTATACTGACCTCTGTAGGACAGCCAAGGTGCCAGGGTTGACACGATGAATACCATCAAGAATAACAAGCTTCCCTTCCAGGGCAGCAGTTACAAGCGGAGATGGTCTCCAAGCAGTGTCTCCATTAGGTAGAGTATACCTTTGCTGCAGCAAATCTCGAGCTGTCATATCCTATGAGCAGCAATCAAAAGAATACAATCAAGCTATATTTTAGTCATGCATCAGTTCTCAATTTCAAAAAGTGTATTTCTCAAGAAGCATGGACCCAAAGGGGTTTGGACACGGAATCTCTGATTCTTTCCTTGAGAACTGTTAGATTTACATACATACTTTAAAATAACCTTAATGCAACATTTTAATCTTTATGAAAGATTAATAACTAACTAACACAGACTTTTCAACACCAGAACAAAAGATCACTTTTTAAAAGAACTTCTAAATGTTTTTTCCCCCTTATAGGTAAAAAGACTTCATTTAAGAAGCAGAAAGTTCCTGTACAGCAGGGGGCAGCAGTTTTCACACAACATAAATCGAACTCACTCATTTGACAAGCAAGACTGAAACATTTTACATACATCATTAAAACAGATTCAGATTTCAGTGACGTAAAACGCTGGTAAAGTTTTGCAATTCTAAAGACAGAATCCACTTTGGTGGCAGACCCCCCCACACTTAGGTATTAAAACACCTAAAACTCTGGTTGCTGGGGTTACTTTTGTTCTATTTTTATGACATAAATGTATAAACATTCCTGGGACAGGGAATGACAAGGACCAGAACCCCAACCTTCCCCATTCCTGCAGTGTGTGCTAGCCACTAGACCACAGAATTACCCTCCCCTTGCTTGTTCTGTTTCTGGCCCCACAGCTGGTACAGTCTTGGCTGTCTTGTGGCCCAGGAGTGAAAGGTGCTTCCATCCCAGTCTTCTCTTTAACATGGTGGTTACAGTGCTTTCCTCAAATGTGGAAATGTGACTTTGAATCACCTTAGGCTGAGGAGGACTTAAAACCTCAGGTTTTCCACTTCCCTGGTGACTAATCACAGGCTGTTAGGCAAGAGGTCGGAACCAACACCAGTACCACAGAACTGAATGCAAGTCATACAAGGTAGATATAGTAGAGGCACACCAAACAGATCAGGTCTCTCTGGACTTGGCACTTTCCCAGAACCAACATAGGTCACAATGGAGTTTAAGCAAGAGCTCACTGCCTAGGTGATCAAGTTAGATCACCTCTGAGTTTATGCAAAACCCAAATGGAAGAATCTACTCAAGTCTTCAGGAAAATACTGAGGTGCTGTTTAACCGGAGGCAAATACTGAGTTTGACTTGTGGAGAAGGGCCAATCTGGATAGCCCTTTGGAATTTAAATATAACCCTAAACCTAAAAATAGGGTAGGGGGAAACATGGAGGGACTCTAACAGTCCACAGAAAAGATCAAATATCCCCCAAATAAAATACAGTTTTGTTCCAATCCAACTCACTCCATCCCTACAGAGGATATAATTTTGCAGACAAAAAGCAACGGTAGTCCAGGATGTGCATCTGCCACTACACATATGCTTTGGTTGTTCCTTTGTAGGGGGCACTAACTGAAGCCTAGAAGGAAACCGTAGTGAGCACCATGTGGCCTAAAAAATTAATTCTGTTCTGCTTTTCAACTGCAGAGAATCTACCCAGTGCAGAGCTCAGCAACTCAGGCTGTTTACATCTGGCCAAAAATCAGGTGGGAAAAAATATCTGTTATTGCGGTTAAAGTTTTGCACATATTCTTTTTACAACTATAAACTCTCTGAACTTTTAAAAATAAAAATAGAACAAATTATGTCATGTAGCCTGAATCATTTCCTCTTTCTGCATTTCCTTAAATGTCTTAAAATAACAGGACAAAGTCTGGTTCCTTCAATACTTCCACAACTGTGTAACTTAAAAGTCTCACCTTCAGATCCATAAAAAAGCACATCTTTTTACTGTTGCCATCAGAATTTTTTACTGTTGTAATTGTTTTGGATTTTTTTCATTTTATTACTAAGTTGTTCAGGCTAAATGCAAAACTTTTCTAACATTTTTATTTAGACTAAAGAAAAACAAATGCTTCTCTTGCTATGAGTTGCCATTTATTTCAGAAATTCCTTATGTATATTCTGCTAATAAATGTATGTATTAGAATGCAGTACTTGCACACAGAATTAAATTAAAATTCATTTTATACTATGCACTTCTTTTGGAATGAAATTAACAATGAATGGTATGATTTAACTATGCTAAAACTAATGCTGGAAACTCAAAAGAACAGAAAGCATTACAAAAATAAAATTAAAATTTGCATCATACTCCAAATGACTTGAGTTGGACTTGATCAAATAATGGGAAATAATAAATTCTTTCATTACCATTTTTTTCCAATTATTCAATATCTGTAGAGGGTTACAACTGTTTTTTGCCTACAGATTTGTTGTTTGTTCTTCCTTCTTGATTAATTATTTATATATTAGACAAATAATATATATTTATATTGTAATACCAGTAACCTGGGTAAAAAAATATTTCTTTCCCACTGTCTTTGTTACATCTAGTTTATCTTATGAAATAGAAAGATTTTATTTTTTTCCTTTGGAAAATATGTTTTTACTGTTCCAGTCATCATACTTAAAGCTCAAAATGTATTTCCTGAAATAGCTCCACTGAGGAAATTATAGTAATACCAAGTAGGGTGTCCCTCATACCTCAACTACTAGCAAATATGGTAGGAGAAGCTTTCAGTTTAACCAGCTTCCCTTGCTCCTTCAATGCCCATTTTATTCTTGAAAATTCAGAGGTTCATGCCCAGGTTTCTAACTTATGAGGCCAATTTGGATTTGCATTTTCTGCCATTTCTCAAACCAAGAACAGGAATTAATGGTAAGGAAAATTCCTGAGGTCACATAAAAATGCTGATTTAGATATAGAAATACATAAGCACATGCAGACACACACTTACTGATGTGCTTAGATAGGATAATTTTTCTGCCAAAAAAAAAATGTTTTTTTGTTGAGAATTATGTTAATGCCACCAATATTTGAATATTAGTTTTTTCTGAAACATCCTGAGGGAAAAAAGTGTTTTAAGCCTTTAAAAAAATTAAAACCAAAGGTTTCCAAACTGTGGTCTACACACAACTGGCTGCTACTTCTCTTCATGTCTAGTTGCCTAACTGTACTAGGAGATAGCTAAAAATAAATTATTTCCTCAAATTACTTTCCCAAGTATGCAAATGCTGTAGTTTCTACAGGGACTTCATGCAATCAGGAGTAAATGTAGTACATGAGCTTGCAAATCAGAAAGAAAGTTGTTCTTGAAACCATGTACCCCAGGAGTTTTCAACCTTTTTTAACAAGTGTACCCCTTCTGTCTCAAAGTTTCAGCTCATGCACCCCTTTATATTTTTTTTCTTGTTTTTAAGGGGGGAGGCAGATTGAGGCCCTGCAGTGAGGGAGGGAGTGGGGCAGGCGCTGCTCATCTGGGGCAGGCCAGGGCCCAGGACAGATCTATGAGCAGCTTGTCTGGGGGGGGCACAGGCAAGGTGGGGGGCGGTGCCTGCCCCTGCTCCAGCCCCAGCCCCACTCACTTTCTCAACACAGGGGCCTATGGAAGTGGAGCTACTGGGGGGCTGCAACCACTCCAGAATTCACCGTAGCCTCCCCAACACCCCTCCCAGCACCACTGCCACCCTCCCCAACCACAGCTGGCCCAGTCCCTGCTGGGAAGAGACCAACGCCTGAGCCCACAGTGGCAGCCCACCTTCATCCTGCACACAGATCTGGGGCACATGCTCCCAAATGCCCTCCCAGGGTGCACGCAGTGTTGGGAGCCACCCCCCACTTGAACTCATTCAAAAGAAGAGATCTTAAAATGATCCTTGGGCATTCTCTGATTGTCTACAGACTGAACATCTAAGAAGGAAGGGAGTTTTACCCGTTGGTTTTTAAGGACATATTAAGATTATGAGAAAATTACGAGAGGTATGCTGTAAAAACCAGGAAGGTAGAATTTTCATATTTCTTGTTCTAAAAGTCTATTTCACAGACTGAAATGTATAATACAGACAGAAATCAAACCTTTACCATGAGAAATTTCCTGTTGCCATTTTCTATCCTGCAATTCTGGGTATTAGATAATGACAAAACATTTATGTTTTGGAACACAGAGTTGAATATCAGTTGGAAAAGAAGGTAAAAAAGCATGTGTAAGACAAAAAAGGACAAACATACATTTTAACTACTTTAAAAGGGAGTGAAAGAGCACCTACTTTAGACCATAAAGGAGCTGTTACAAACTATTTATTAATTCTGAAAAACCCAGTAGTGATGCAGATAAGATAAATCACTGAACTTTGATCCTGCACTAAGCAAGGGGAAAGTTGGAGCAGTTTTGTTACTTTTGCATCCCTACAGGATTATATGGTGTCCTTTGATATTTAAACAATTGTTATGTATTGATTGCTATATCCTCTGAGAAGATACCAATTAAGGATTAGCAATTCTTCCACATAAATTGCTATCATGTTCTCCATGCTGAAGTTCCACAAGCTTTGCCCTCATGAATGAGCATGCCAGGTTTCTGTTTCAGAGAAGGGCTTCCAAGAGCTACTTTTATATATATTTGTATAATAAATCCTCTAAATTACATAATACTCTCAAATACTAACCTACTTGAGAATACACAGACTTTTTGGACGCAATAATGTATTTCTCTATTACAACAAAGCAAACATTCTTTTCTGAATTACTGTTTATAATACAAGACCTGCTGGCAATATTTTAGCACTTTAAAGAGAGTTGTTATTTGTAGAATAGAATTAAGAGAGCTCTGTCTTTTCATACATCTATTTAAAAGGAAAATTTAAATCAGGTGCCACTGAAACTTTTCTTTTCCTCTCCAAACCGTACCTGGCAGCTCTGTGACCCTGCTCTTCAGGAAACTCAAGAAGGATCACAACGTGATCTGGGACAAATAAGCATGAAGCTCATTTGGGCCCTGGGAAAGGGAGAAAAAACTGTTCCCAGACTGAAAGGGGACAAAAAATAGGCCTCCAGGGTTCACTACTGTCTAGCATCGTGCAGTCAGCTGCAAACTTGAGCATTCTGCACTGTAGGAAAAAGGAAGAGAAAAAAAGTCAACAGGGATAAAGGAAGGAGGAAAGCTAAAGAGGGGGAAAAGAACAGGAGGCGCTACTCCACAGTTAGGGCGGCTAGGATCTGGAACCAACTTCCAAGGGAAGTGGTGCTGGCTCCTACCCTGGGGGTCTTTAAGAGGAGGTTAGACAAACACCTTGCTGGGGTCGTTTGACCCCAGTACTTTCTCCTGCTATGGGGTTGGACTTGATGATTTGCTCAGGTCCATTCTGACCCTAGCAACTATGAAACTATGAAACTGAAACTGAGACAAGGTACCGCATGGTCTTCAGCAAGAAGATACATCAGCAGGGACCCTGGTTTTCTCTGATAAAAAAGCCCCCAATTTTCAGATATAAAAAATAACCCCAGCACGACAGGTTCTATGTTATATCCTAGAAAATATATATACTAGATGACCCTGTGAGGTCCTTTCAGCCCTACTTTCCTATGATCCTATGATGTTGTTTGATGATGTCTTTAGAGTATTAGTTTTGTTCTTGTTGTTAGAATACTGCTCAGCTAGAAGTGTTCTTTCATAAGGGTAACACAGACATGTGCGGGCCGGCTCCCGATCCCATCCTCGCCATGTGCGAGCCGGGCCCGTCTTTGCGCATGCGGACTGTGGCCAGCAGCCCGGGCACGCGGGCCCAAAGAAAACAGCGGGGCGGTAAGGTACGCGTGAGCTAGAATCAGTTACGGAGGCGTAATGGTTGATTGAAAAGATTATTTACTTACACCCAAGGTGGTCGCGGTGTAGGCTGGACAGCTTTCCAGGCGCAGCTCCGTTTGAATCCTCATTGGAGGACTCTGACAAACTCGATTCTTTGACCCCGGAGTGGTTTAGGCTCCGCGGGTTCGGCAATTCTTTCCTCACGGAGTGGCTGAATCTCCGTGGGTTCTGTTCGGTTCCCAGGTCCCCTGGAGCTGTTAAGACTCCGTGGGTTCGAAAATTGGGTATATAGGATAGGGATACGTCTAGGATTGCGCTCGGTGACGGGGAGAGGCTAGAAGCTAAACAGACCTCCGTTGCCTGCTTAAGAAAGGTGCGTTGGGTCCGCAAGGGTCCACATCGCTTGGAGGTCTTCACACAGTGAGAAATCTCCTCCTCCTGGCGAGTTCTGTATCTCTCCAGGTTTTCTCTCTCTCCGACTTGGGCGGAAACTAGCCAAGCCTTTTGTACGGCTAGCAAGACAATAGCTAGCCGAACACAACTCCTTTGCACCGTGCATCACTATGATGCAAAAGAAATGCACCATGCAAAGGAAGGCTACAAACGGCAGGAAATACTCTTTTGCACGCGGGTTCTCCTATTGCAGCAGAAAACTCTATCGTGCAAAAAAGCTGCAATTTGGCGGGAACATAATTTAGCGGTGCCGAAGCACACAAAAACAAAAAACCACAACTCTGGGGTGTGACAAGACATACAAGCAAGAATATTTATACACACACACAAAGACATCATCAAGCAAAACATCATAGGATCATAGGAAAATAGGGCTGGAAAGCACCTCACAAAGTCATCTAGTCCAGTCATCTGGTCAAGACAGAATCATCCCCCGCTAAAGCCATCCCAGCAAGTGTCTGTCTAATCTGCTTTTGCACGTTTCCCAAGATGGAGACTCTACAACTTCTCTAGGTAGCCTGTTTCAATACTCGACCACCCTCATAGTCAGCAAGTTCCTCCTAATTTCCTGTCTAAATTTCCCCTGTTGCAGTTTGAGGTTGGTTGCTCTTAATCCTGTCCCCTACAGAGAAAAGCTCACTCCCCATCCTATCTATAACCAGCCTTCAGGTGTTTGACGACTGTTAACAAATCCCCCTCAGTCTTCTCATCTCCAGATTGAATAACCTTACTTCTTTCACAGTCTTTCCTCATAGATCTTGTCTCCCAGGACCCTGATCATTGTTGTTGCTCTGTGCTGGACTCTTTCCAAACTGTTCATGCCCTTAAAGTGCAGGGCCCAACACTGGACACAGTATCCCAGGTGAGACCTACTAATCTTACAGCTC